AATGAGACAGTACATGCAAGTATGGGTAGCTAATGAGGCAGTACATGCAAGTACTGTCATGCTAATGAGGCAGTAGATGCAAGTACTAGTATGCTAATGAGGCAGTAAATGCAAGTATGGGTAGCTAATGAGACAGTACATGCAACTACTGTCATGCTAATGAGGCAGTACATGCAAGTACTAGTATGCTAATGAGACAGTACATGCAAGTATGGGTAGCTAATGAGGCAGTACATGCAAGTACTGGTATGCTAATGAGGTAGTACATGCAAGTACTGTCATGCTAATGAGGCAGTACATGCAAGTACTAGTATGCTAATGAGACAGTACATGCAAGTATGGGTAGCTAATGAGGCAGTGCATGCAAGTACTGTTATGCTAATGAGACAGTACATGCAAGTACTGTCATGCTAATGAGGTAGTACATGCATGTACTGTTATGCTAATGAGGCAGTACATGCAAGTACTGCTATGCTAATGAGACAGTACATGCAAGTATGGGTAGCTAATGAGACAGTACATGCAAGTTCTGTTTTGCTAATGAGGCAGTACATGCAAGTACTGGTATGCTAATGAGGCAGTACATGTAAGTATTGCTAGCTAATGAGGCAGTACATGCAAGTACTGTCATGCTAATGAGGCAGTACATGCAAGTACTGTTATGCTAATGAGACAGTACATGCAAGTACTGGTATGCTAATGAGACAGTACATGCAAGTACTGGTATGCTAATGAGACAGTACATGCAAGTACTGGTATGCTAATGAGGCAGTACATGCAAGTACTGTCATGCTAATGAGGCAGTATATGCAAGTACTGTTATGCTAATGAGGCAGTACATGCAAGTACTGGTATGCCAATGAGACAGTACATGCAAGTATGGGTAGCTAATGAGGCAGTACATGCAAGTACTGTCATGCTAATGAGGCAGTACATGCAAGAACTGTCATGCTAATGAGGCAGTACATGCAAGTACTGTCATGCTAATGAGGCAGTATATGCAAGTACTGTTATGCTAATGAGGCAGTACATGCAAGTACTGTCATGCTAATGAGACAGTACATGCAAGTATTGTTATGCT